TAATTTATTTTTAATTAGCAAACCTTTTGTGTACCCCTCCTACACAAAGAGACCATGATTTAAAAAAAAGGAAACTTTTAAAAAATATAATCAAAGTTTTATTTTTTAAAGTATCTTCTCTCAAAAGAGGGCGTGGCTCTTCATTTAAACAAACTTAAATCCCCTTCACCCACGAATGCTTTGTGGCAAGTTTGATTTAAATCAATGGTCATTTGATTCTAGAGAAGAGGATGAAAATGGGATACGTTTACAAGGCCAAAGGAAAAGTTCGATCAGGAAAGCTTACTTAAGCATTTGGCTCGTGACCAACATCTCTCTAAGCAAGGTAGTGGTCAAGTTATTTGAAATAAAACATTTAACAATGTAGTACGGGGACATTACTTAACCTCTCTTAATTGCATTTATATTGATATCGAGTCTCTATGTAACCTTAGGTATATCTACAAATGAGATTTTCACTGTGTCATCGAATGCCCTAGTAAACTAGACTTGGAGAACATGAAATTCAAGCAAAATTGTCTGGGTTCTTTGAAGACATTATATAATCTCTTTATGACCATTTACTAAGAAGGGAATGTTATCATTTTTATTTTAAGACAAAATATAATTTACTCTCTCATGTTTTATCAGTTTTTTCGTTGGCATGAATGTTCTCTATTCCAAAAAGGATTTCTTTAATTATAAATATCAAATTCTTTTTATATAGAATGAGTGAAGTAAGTAGCGCACAGTTTCGCACGTATTCAGAAAGTCCTATTGAATAATAATATTAAAAGATACAAAAATAGTGTAATCCGTACTAAAGATTGCAAGTATTCATGAAAACATCAGAATTTTTATTCCTGAAAATATTTTTATTTACATTTTGAAGGTCATAAATGTTCAAACAATCTATAATTTCAAACGACCCGTTGTCCTCTTAGCTATGCCAATAATAAACAAAGTAACCACTGGATGTTCTTATTTAGCCAGCTAATTGTCACAAACAAACCTGAGCTTCAAACCTGTATTTAAAACTTACTATGAATAAATTATTCTCATCTCTTACTAGTTCTGGGAGTTACTTGATAGTTAAAATAGAGATATAATTTAAAGTTTAAAAAAAATGACGGAAATTGACCTAGTCAATAGGGATCCCAACAATATTAACGATCATCTAAAGGTAAGTAGAGAAAATACAGGTATATAACAGAAATATTCTTAACATCTTTGATACAAATGTTAAAGCAATTGTCCTTTATCATGTTGTAAATTTTGAGTTTACAGGGTGGGGGTAAATGCAAAGTTTACAAACATAATAACTTTTTTTTTAAATTTTGTATTTACCTCCACCTAGTACATTCAAAATATACAGCATGATACCTTCAGAAAAAGCAGTTCCATTAGGGTTTTTAAAAAAATATTTTTTTTATCTTGTGAACATTGAATGGTATTTTCAATATAATGACTAGTATATTTCATGAAAGATTCGTATAATAAATGAAATACACAGAAAAAAACTGCAATGGATGGAAAAAAAATTTTAAAACACTTTCGGTGCTACATTTTATTTTTATAATTATACTGATTTTGTGATATAAAGCATATTTTGTGAAACATTTTATAAAAAAAAGACTTTTGGAACGCATATCTTAATCAACAGCGTATTAGACGAATATTTTAAACTCCGTGAACCCTGATAGAAAGTGAGAAAGAAGACACAATTAACCAGTTACTAAATAAGAATCCTAACCCTCTATCATAACTTAACATTATTTGTGTTAAAATAACCTTTTAAAAATTCTTAAAAATTTTAAATACACTTTTCTCAGGTCCAATTTGAAGATGTTTTAGCAGAGCCAGAGGGAGTTCGCAGTATTGACTGCGTTTGGAAACTCTCCTACAAATGTTTCTCCTGTTGGAAAACCCTTTGTTACATCATCATGACGACATGCTGTGGAATATGCCTGGCAGCAGAGTGGGGATGTCAATTTTCTTATATCTCCTTTCTGCACGTTTGGTACATAACTCCATTCTTCAAGATCCTGGAACTGAATTGTGGATTCCTTCAGAAGCTTTATGGTCTCTGCATCCATTGTTGCCTCGATCCCATGTGTGAAGCTTGCGGGCTGATATTTCACAAGTTTAAGAGGAATTAAACTTGGTACATCAACTATGCACACAGACAGACACTGAATGTAAAACTATTCTAACCTGTACATTGCTACTAGAAACTAAAACTCTTTGATTAGCTTTGCTCTTCTGTAATAATCACGAATATATTGAACATATAAAACAATTTTACCATTCTTCTTCTTATTATTATTATTTGATATAGCATCGTCCTTTATATGATTATATTTTACTATAATATAAAATATTCCTTAAATTATTATCATTCAAGAAACAAGAAACTCATTAGAAATTTACGTGCATTATTTGAACAACCTTCAATCTACACTATCTAAATATACTTCCATATCAGTATCATTAATCATAGCCATGTTGCTCTTGAGAAGATATTTAAGAATTCTTCCATATTTTCCTTTGTAAAAAAAACCCATTATTGTGACCCATAATACTCATGAAGTCGATGATTTGAACAAACATGAATCTGAAACACTTGAAAAAAGTAGCATGATATTATCAATAATACCAATGGCCAAGCAAGGCTTTTAAATACTTTTCTCCTATATATTCCTTTATATGCACATTATTTTGACCCATTTTTCATTTGTATTTCCCTTTGTGACCCCAAACTACCCAGAGGACAGGATGTCAAAATTGAATTTTCACTACCTGAGGATGATGCTTGCATGTTAATGTTACTAGTCATCGCCGCCCTGTACTTGAAGAGATTTTAAATGATTTTTTTCCTATATTCCTATGGAAAACTTTGATCCCATATTGTAGCACCACCATTTCCCAAGGAGCCATGGAATGAAAAAATAGAATCTACTCTGTTAAAGAAATAATTGCATAATTTTTGTCATATCTGGAGAAGCGGGTTTACTTATTTATTTATTTTGAGAAGATTTTTCAATAATGCCACCATATTTGCACAATTTCTTAATTATATCCTCTTGAAAAAGAATGTGGTACTTCATATAGAGAAATTTGAATCCCCTTCACCCAAGGATTCTTTGCGGCAAAATTAGTTAAAAATAAATCAGTGGCTTCGGAGAAGATATCGAAAATGTGAAAAGTTGACAGACAACATACGACAGCACAAGGCAGACAGACAGACGGGCGTCAAACAATATTTGATCAGAAAAGTTCACTTGAGCCTTTGGCTCAGTTAAGCTAAGTTATAATTGAAATACCGAGGTATACTTGAGGGAAAACAATGCATGCGCAGGGGATAGACATAAGTCATATGTACTGCCAATCTACTTTATAAATTCTAAATTATCTTTTTTGCCAGCGATAATTTTGCATAATAATTAATTAATTAGACAGAGATAGTGATGTTAATCCAATAAACGTAACAAGTATTTTATGAAAACGTCTCGATTCTCTAATATGTCTCAATATCATTTTCACTATTCATTAAAAAAAAAATACTGCAATAGATGAATTAAAATCTATTTGATTCGTGCATATAATAAATACATATTGTCAGATAACATGCTTATAAAAGGAACTTCATGTTAATTTCAGCATTGTCATGCATTTTAAGACAGTACGTGCATTAATACTTCGTGATACTTCAGATAAATTATAAGATGATGAGTGTCATTTGGTACGTACGAAATTACCACCGTATATTTCTTATTTCTTTTAATATACATTAATAAAGCCTTTGAATCATACCATCCACTGTTTTTATTGATCAGCTAGATCAGGTAGATTGACATTACTGCTGGAAACTACTTTTTTGTTTTAAATTCGCCATCTGAGATCTAGATAAACAATTCTAATTAGATGTATTAATTTGAGACTCTCCTTTATTATGATATTTAATGTCATATAAAGACTCTTGTTCTTTATCATGAAGTGGTGATTATAATTTATGTAAATACTTATTTTGAAGAAGAAGGATACTTTTTAATTACAATATATTTTTGAGGAGGGTGTATTAGATTTATAAAAATGAGCTCTGCTCATTTATTGGTTCTGTCTTTTCAACTTCAACAAAATTCTGGAATGTAAGTCAGACATGCACTGATCTATAAAAAAGTGATAAATAATATACATAGCAAGATGAAACTAACAAGCTTAACAAACAATTCTGTCGATTGAAGTCGATTGCACATATGGAAAAAATACTTCATGCAGAGGAACGAAATACTGCTGATTGAATAGAAATAGTAGACATATGCAGATGAAAGCGCCACAAAGCGGACAAATGTCATTATCTAGGTCTTTTTCAGAGAATATGGGTGTTTTACCTGTTTATTACACTATTATACTTACACTAGAAATCAATTTGCAACCAGTTCCAAGTAAAAAGATACTTTGTTTATCGCTAACGTGTAGCGGGTATAATTTTCTTAAATTTATATTATTTGCCTCAATACATGTGTTATCCATGTATAAAAATTATGAAGTAATCATTTTGTTCATTTTTAACTCACATGCTATGAGCATAACAAACAATCAAAACAAGCAACAAAAAAGTGATACATACCTTTACCCTCTTTTTAGTAGAAAAAAAAAACAAAAAAAAAAAACAAAAACAAACAAACAAACAAACAAACAAAAAAGATTATAGAATTTGACCAACCATTCCTCCCACGCTAAATGGAATTCCTAGATCCATCCCTGTAAATGCCAATTGTTTCCATAATAAATTACCTACAATATACCTTTAGGAAACAGTGCAGGTCATCTTGCTAATTTTGCTGAACCTTAATAATGTTACCAATGGACACTGAAATTTGGCCAGCTAATTGTCCTACAAAACCGAGCTTATAGCTTGAAGTATTTAATAGATATCACTTATAAGTGTTCAATTTCTCATTGTTTTGTCAAGTGATCGTTAGTTGAAATACAGTAATAGGTCAACAATAATTTGTAAAATGGCAGAATTTGATTTGATTAATAGAGATCCAAACAACATAAATAATCACCTCAAGGTACGTATCTGATACAATTCTCATTTTAATACTTTCATCTTAACGATGAGCCAAAAAAAAAACTTTCCCTGAATACACTTCCGTAGACCAAATGAGTTTTCAAGGAAAAAACAAATGTATTTTTAATTAAAAAAATATTGTGGTAAAATATTTTTAGATAAAGAAATAAGTACATTCTTAATAGAAACTTACGTATTAAACTAGTAGTTTTGAAAAAAAAAAATTGAGCTTGACGCATTTAAATTGACTTTTTTATGCTCAAAAATGTAGTCATCTGCATAAATTATTAAAAGTTATTTTTCTCTTAAGGAGGTTAAATTCGATCCTCAGCTTTTAAATATTTTTGACAAGACCTCTAGTATAGAAACTCTAGTCTAGAAACTCTATATCATATTTATGTTTTAACAATATATTTGGATTTTACAATTTCAGTTAAACCATATTGAATTAAAATCTTATATTAAAATTTCATAAACAAAGAATTCCATAAGAAACAATATTTTAGGCGGAAGGTTTTCTTAAACAAAATGATAACTTTATTTACAGTACTGTTAGGTTTGGCTTTCTAGAAATCAATGCAGTCTACTTTTAGATTAATTTTGTGCAGTGAGATATGAGATTTTTTTTTTTGTTGATTTGAAATTACATATAAAATTAACTTTTATGAATTCTGTCGACAAATTTTGTAAACATAGCAAATATACAATGTATTATAAAAGTAAAGAAAACGACTAATTTTTTAGCCTTATATTTTTTTGGCATATCTCGAAATTTACATTTACTCCCCCTTTTAGTATTTTTTCTGAAAATATAAGATATTAGTTACTTCTCTGACATAAAATCACTAAAATCTGAAGTCTTTCAATGAACTTTAATGCCTTTTAAATTTTTAAATGCCAAAAAAAAATCGTATTTCATGAGTGCAGCAAGGTCACATACTTGATTTTAAGCCATAATTTGGATATCGTGGGGAGAAGGAGGAGGGTGTCAAAATTTTCAGCGTATCTATACTAAATAAGATAAGACTGCATTTGGTGTCTCGAGTCATTCATATATGAATATTGGAGAGAAAAGTGATTGAGGTGTAAGAAGTGATTGCTGTTCATAAAGGTTACATTAAATAAGCGCTGAAAGACACATGTAGACCCCTTTCTCTTCTTTCTTTCTTTTTTATGCCCCATAATCGAAGATTCGGAGAATATAGTTTTTGCCCTGTCCGTCCGTCTGTGTTTAGCTGTTTGTTTGTCTGTAAAAACTTTAACCTTGCCCATATCTTTTGATTGGTTGGAGCTATGGCTTTAATATTTCACATGTATTTTCCTCGTGACAAGACCTTTCATTTGGATCCATCAAATTTGGCCTTTTGACCTTGACCTTGGAGTTTGACCCAGTTTTGCAAAATTTTACGCAACATTAACCTTGGCCATAACTTTTGAACAGTTGGCGCTAGGGCTTTCATACTTCACATATCTAATCCGTGTGACAAGACCTTCCTTTGGATACCAAGAACTTTGACCCTTTGACCTTGACCTTGGAGTTTGATCTTCTTTTGAATAACTTTAACATTGGCCATCACTTTCGAACAGTTGGTGCTAGAGCTTTCATACTTTAATACTTCAAATATGTAATCCTTGTGACAAGACCTTACTTTGGATACCAACAACTTTGACCTTTTGACCTTGACCTTGGAGTTTGACCTACTTTTGAAAAACTTTAACCTTGACCATAACTTTTGAATGGTTGGTACTAGGGCTTTAATATTTTACACTTGTATTTCTTGTGAGAAGGCATTTTCCATATCTTTTCAATGGTTGCTGCTAGGGCTTTCATATTTCATATATTCTTAATTTGGGTTCCAACGTCTTTGATTTGCATTTGAGAAAGTTCAGCCTTCGCTATAAGTTGCCATTCATCAGTGAAACATCAGTGTTTCACAAACACATCTTTTTTTTTTTTTTTTTTTTTTTTTTTTTTTTTTTTTTTTTTTTTTTTTTTTTTTTTTTGCTTTTGATTTGTAATTAAGCTATGTGCGTAGATTTTTAAAATATATTTTAACAATTCTTAAGGCTTTTGATCGCAGGAATCAAAATCTTTAGCATTCCTCATCCAAAAATTTGATGATCTAAATATTGAATGGTTCCATATTTTAAATGATGCAAAAACTAGATGCACAAAAAATATTTGAAACATAAAAGCCTAAATAAGAGGACAATCTTTAGAAATCTTAAAATAATTTCTCTTCAGGTACAATTTGAAGATGTATTGGCAGAACCAGAGGGGGTTCGCAGTATTGATTGCGTTTGGAAACTCTCCTACAAATGTTTCTCCTGTTGGAAAACTCTTTGTTACATCATCATGACGACATGCTGTGGAATATGCCTGGCAGCAGAGTGGGGATGTCAATTTTCTTATATCTCCTTTCTGCACATTTGGTACATAACTCCATTCTTCAAGATTCTGGAACTGAATTGTGGATTCCTTCAGAAGCTTTATGGTCTTTGTATCCATTGTTGCCTCGATCCCATGTGTGAAGCTTGCGGACTGATATTTCACAAGTTCCAGAGAAACTGAGCTTCGTTCCTCTCCAAATTTTATATTTGGGCATTGATATTTATCTGATTATTATAATTATTGGTTTAACAAAGACACATACATGTATTTTGGTGTTATGATTATAAAATGTACAGCAAAATAAACTGAGTATTAGTATTTCTTCTTCCTTTGTGACTTGCTTTAATTTTTTTTCATTGTATGTGCATGTCTTTTGTAAATACAAAAATTAGAATGTTAACCGTTTCTGAAATGTACTTGTAATTGTCACCAAGAATATTGTGCTGTAGATCAAGTGTACCAAAAATGACGTAGTTATTTTTTTGTTATGTTACACGTGCAGGTATGTTGATAATCAGGCTAAATAATATTTTTGTTATTACATAAAAAATTAGCAAATAATCACTATGCTCTTTATTATGTTCTAATAAAAGGATCGGTTCACGGTAAAAATTGATTTCCTGAGGAAAATGTAACACAAAAAAAGGCATTTTCTGGAACTTCTTATATATAATTAGCTCCAGGAAATAGTCCTCGTGATTGGAGAATTACATATTGATCAAAATGATACTATTATTTTTTACTATCAATTCACCAGTGAAATCATTCTCATTCATAAGTTGATTCGATACATCACATCGAACTAAATAAAAGAAACCACAGAGTATGATACATCAGTTTCATATTTGGATGATTTACTAAAGAACATTAATGACAAACTAACAGCTAAATCGTATGAAAAACGTGATGATCACAATGTTTCTTTCTTCAACATTCCTTATTTATGTAGCTGTAAACCATTGTTACCTGCATATAGGTTTCTTGTATTCCACTTTATTCGACACGCATGAGCTTTTTCTACATATATAAAAAATTTCAAAAAAAGAGGCAGGCTACTGACAAAATAGGTTGATAATATAAGGATATCAACAATGACGTATAAAATCGGTTGTAAATAAAATCTGTCGTTAGGTCGACTGTTGACTGACGTCTTTCATGCAAACTGTTAGGTCATTATTTTCATTCCGATTTTTCTTCGGATTTCTCCGTTTACCTTATCATGACAATGGGCAACAGCGGATGTGACCAGTAGACAGGGGATGTAATCTTCTCCTAAGCAATTGTTCTCAAAGGCCTTTGCTTCCTCTGCTCAAATTTGTATTTTTAAATTGTACTTTTTAAGAATTAAATATGTTCGTTATCTTCGCATTTCATATGTATTCATGCGTATAAAGTCCTGCAATATACATGACCAAATTAAATTATATAGCTTTTAAGGGCGATATTTTCCATTGTGCGATATTTTTCACAAGCTTGCTAGAACTTAAATGAGGACAGACATTTTAAGTAGATCAAGTGAGAAAAAAAAATAAATAAGATCAAGGAACATTAACTGGCAAGATTGGAAATATGCAGCTTACGTCATTTCCGTCTGTTACGGTCAAAAACATTTGATGATGGGCGGGTACAATTCGGCACAGACGTCTGAAAAAAGATGGTATTGAAATTATTGCTCGAAATTCACTTGAGCTATTTTCATACGCTGAGTGTTAAATGTAATGTATGATCCAAAATTCAAATAATTTCAAATTGCAAATATACGTACACGTAGATTGAATTAATATATATCATATATTATTATAATATATTATATATATATATATATTATATTATAATATATCATAATTTTTCTATCCAATATTTTTTGAAGGACACACAAAGTACTCTTTCATTTTTTTTAATTTCATATTTTTTTTTATACAGAATGATTTAACAATTATAAGGGTAGTTCTATTCATTGGCAACAACCCGTTTTCTACAGAGATACGCATCGTAGAATTTAACATCAGTCCTTTCTGCAAAATACAGTTGTATTTACTCGAAACCCAATAAAAATATAAAGGCTGAGGAAAAAACACATGGCCGAAACCCTTGATATAGCCGAATTGGTATGTACAACAGAAAGATAAAGTCCCATTAAAGGACAGTGAAAGGGAAAAAAAACTCTTAGGAACAGGAAAATGATTTTTAAGGCTAAAGAAAAAAAAATATTATTACAATGAACGACGAAAAAATTCTCACTGTCATTTTCATTTAATGACAATTCACACAATGTTGTGTGCTATTTTATCCAGGAAAAGAGGGCGGTATATATATTTGGAAGATAATCATATCTGAACAACATGTATTACATAATAAAGCATTATGTTATAGCATTTATGAAATCGTTGTTTTTGTTTGGTAATTACTGTCTTGACATATATATTTTTTTTCTTGGGTCAAGGTTAATGTGTAGAGTTCGGTATCTTTCGGGGGTTATATATAAGCCTAACCTTTCGGGTTTATTCAATCAGAGGCGTGTATTAAAATAGCGAACGTCACTTAATTGACCGATTTTGCATGAAAATAAAAAACATAGATAATTTACGCAAGAAATCACTCAGCCACCTACCACAACTTTCAATATCATCCCAAATTTGAGCATCTTTTTTTTTTTTTTTTTTTTTTTGATATAAACTTTTAATTTGTATTTTTATTTCTTAATTCCAAACTTTTGGTTGTACTGTTCATTTGTCTTACAAGGACATCTATTTATTATTATCGCCAACTTTCTGCTCATATATTTTACAATTTGTTCTGTTGGCATCTTTTTGATTTTAGAACGTCAACTTTTTGCTTGTACTCTATATATGTTTTACAATTTGCCCTGTAATTTCTTTCATTATTTGGATATGTAACAGGAGAGATCAGTATACAACTTTACTATGATATGTAAAAAATCATTTGTATAAGACAGGGTTGTTGCGAAATCCCCAATTATTGTATTGTTAATACTCATTGTCAATTTCGATAAATGACAAAATTTACACATTTGTGCTATTTTATCCAAGAAAAAGAAGGTTGTAAATATTTTGAAGTTAATCATAATTAAATAACATGTATTACACAAAATATTTTCTGTTCATTTGGGATACAAGGTTGAGCCTTGAGCGGTAAGATTAATTATACACGTATTCTTCAATCAATAGCATATTGGAAATGTCTGTTAGCTTTGTTGAATTTGGGAAGATGCAAAACTTTAAGGTTCCCCCTCGCAGTAGATGTTCGTACAAAAAAAAGAGACCTCGCACTGCTCAGCGGACGTAAGTGCCGAGTACAGTTCTAAATGTGCAGCTTTCCTCCGGCAAAGGATGGCGTCCAATATGGTAACCGTTGTAAAATTCTTGAAGGTACGAGAGTCAAACAAATTACTAACCAATCAACCCTTCTTTATTGAGAATGCTATGACTTCCAGTCAGGTACATGCGTACGTAAGGTGTTTGACGTCCATTTCGTACCTTAATATAAATCTGTCCATCATTTTTTGGAGAAAAAGTGGGGTTTTTACTTTGTGTTTATTGGATGTTAATTATCGCCTCATTATATCGCGACACATTGTTATGAGCCACAGGCTCTATGATACATTAAACCTATCTCTATAAGTTCTTATAGAATTCCTGTATGTCTTAACAAAATACCAAGTGAATAGACAAAATTTGATTTAAAAAAATGATCATTAAAAAATACCAGATTTTAGAGAAAGCCTACTCTTTCCTCAATATACACATGTGGTTCTTATAGAAATTAATAAAAATGCATTTTTAACGATGCCCTTATGGAACATAAAACTTTGAATTGTATTCCGATTAATATCTCAAAAATTGATAAAATCTAATTCCATAAATTTCAATACATCCGGGCTATAAATCACTGAATTTCAATAAATCAACAAATTTTCTCTGGAGGTTTATCAACACCCTGTCTCTATTGGTTATTTGTGGACTGCATGGCTGTTCCGTGGCTCTCATGAAGGAACAAAAAGACATTACATAGAAAGGAGTATACATAAGAATGACATCATGACATTTGCGCTCGGAATAAGAAAATACACAATCACATGAACGCCTACAGTTTAGCTTTAGTACAAAGGTCCTAGAATCGCTTCATGCTTCACCGGATATCGTAACGCAGTGGAGTAGGCTGTGATTCATAGCTACATGTACCTACAGTTCACCATAAAAAATGTACCTTTTCACCACGTGGCCAAATACTAGTAGTAATTCAAAATGGCTGATCTGGCCTTTCGAAGTCGTCCCCGTCATCCCCATGGAATTAGTTTTTCAAGATTCAAAATAAAGAGAAGTCTCTCAATCTTGAAGACAACATATCTCAAATTAAAATAGACACAATTCCTTTTAGCAGTTTGCCGGTCACTATGGTGAGTGGATGTACAGATTTCCTGGTGAGTGGATGTACAAATTTCAAAAAGAAAAAGCTAAAAACTTTAAAAAAAAAAAAAGAAAAGAAAAGAAAAACCTACAACAAAATTATTGAGTCACGATTTCCTTTAAAAAAGTACACCTCGTCTTTATATACTAATACATGTACATTATTAAACTTCATCTAAAACATATCAAATGGAAAATTGGGTTTATTCTGCTCATTTGCAGGTACATATTGAAGCTTATGAAAGTGGTGGATTCCAAAAGAGTTTACATACGAAAAATACCAAAATTCGCAAATTTTCATACACTTATTATTTTGAATGAAGTTCTTCAACCGATGGTTTTCTTAATTTATCTATCGGAAGGGATAAAAATTTTTAATACCAGAGTGAAAGTTTCGAAGCGAGAGTATATTTATTAATTAAAGTGAAGGGCACAGAATCTATCATTTTTGAAGTTGAAGTCTACACCCTGCATATAGATATTCCTAAATTGCTGCATCCAAACTTTTCAATTATAAACGAACCGTACAATGCCCAGATTTTGAAAATTTAAAACAAAATCTTCTAAAATGATCTTTCTTTCCTATTCTTTCAAGTACAGTCCCGCTGGACACGTCATTACTGTTGATGTAAATATAGTTGAAAATGACGACTTAGATGCTATCATTTTAAAATGTTCTAAATGCAATACCTTTCAATTGCTTACAGAACTTCATCTATTCTTATTCTGTCAAGGATTAAGCCAGCTAATGGAGAAAATATGGAGAGGA